ATTAATCCTTCTATACACTTAAAACAACAACATACGCAATGAAATCATACAAAGTGGTTCTGTTATCTTACATGTCCGAGTGAAAAGGTGTGAGAGGGAATGGGGTAATGATGGGAAGCCCATGAAGGAGGTTCGTAAGGCTTCTTCGTCAGAAACTGAAAGGGCGAACCGGAATCCTCCATGGATGATTCGGTAACTCAACACTGTTTCTTCTTCTTATAGTTTTTGCCAAAATAAACTTTCCACTGCTCCTATCAGTGTCTATCACCACATCTTTATAGTAAGTACGTAGTAGTAATACTTTTATCTCTGGTTTGGGTTTAAATGCGGTTATTTTATGGTTACAATTACCAAAAATAATTTTACCTTCTATGTGGAATAAATAATTTCATAATTATATTCTTAAATGGGAAAATTACGCGGTTAGACAAACTTATACTACTTAATACTCATCATAGTTATAGTTTACTATAATTACCACTCGCGACTAACATTATACATTAATTATGTGGGCTGACTTCGAGTTTGTATAATTAGCCACGTTTGTATATGTATAATTCGCCAGAATATACAAATACATATGTATAATGTACAATTATCTAACCAATATACATATACAATTCACCACTCTCCCACTCTATGCCCTCTCTCGCTCGCCTCTCTCCTCCCTCTCTCAATCTCGATTGCCATATATACAAATGCATATGTATAATATACAATTATCTAACCGATATACATATACAATTCACCTCTCTCCCACTCTTTGCCCTCTCTCGCTTGCCTCTCTCCTCCCTCTCCCAATCTCACTCGCCTCTCTCCTCCCTCTCTCAATCTCACTTGCCATATATACAAATGCATATGTATAATATACAATTATCTAACCAATATACATATATAATTCACCTCTCTCCCACTCTCTGCCCTCTCTCGCTCGCCTCTCTCCTCCCTCTCCCAATCTCACTCACCTCTCTCCTCCCTCTCTCAATCTCGCTTGCCATACATACAAATACATATGTATAATATACAATTATCTAACCGATATACATATACAATTCACCTTTCTCCCACTCTTTTCCCTCTCTCTCTCGCCTCTCTCCTCTCTCTCCCAGTCTCGCTCACCTCTCTCCTCCCTATAACATGTAGCTACGAATTGTAATTATCAAACTATAGCTATGGAGAGTAATATATTAGACTATTTTTGAGTAGCTATATGTGAAAGTTCCTCTTATTAAATTCATCTTTAACTTTAGATTTTTTTACTTCTCGTTATCAATGGACTATATACCAAAAGTTTGGGTTGTGCATATATAGATTCACTATTAATTTGCAAATTTATTTTAAGTGGTGTTAATTAAATGATTTTAAATTATTTTATTAAGTGTAAAATAAATATCTGACAAATATTATTAATATTGATAAATTTTATGTGGTAACAAAAATTATACAAATGTTAGCAACATTCAGAATAATGAAACTATAACAAATATGAATTTAAAACTAAAAGTGTTCCTAAAATTGATTCTGTTTAGAAAATATATACACTAATTAAATTAAGGTAGAATAAAGAATTTTTTCTTTTCTTAATAATTAAAGGGTAAATTTTAGGAATCACATAGTTTTAATATGAAATTACAATCTATCCCTCTTTAGTTTGTAATTATATTAATTCCTTAAAAAGTAACACAAACCTGATACATAATATGTAGCTCGGATACATTAAAGAGTATCTCAGATACATTAAAAACTAGTTGAATACATTATAAAATAAACCAGATACATAATATGTAGCTCGGATACATTAAATACTGGCTCGGATACATTAATATGTAGCTCGGATACATTAAATATTGGCTCGGATACATTAAAGAAATAAGGGATTTTAGAGGTTTTTAGAAATAGAAAGGGATATTGAAAATAAGGGAAACATAAAACGTGTATTTCAATAATTTTTTCATAATTTAAATAACATGTTAAAATTGTTGAGATTAAACAGGTTAAATTGAGAAGGTCATAATACAATCCAAAAATTTAGTAAATTTGAGCCCACTTAAACGGGTACTGACTCAACTTAATTTTTAATTTTAACTCAATATGCCTATTTAACCTCCTTAATTTTAAAAGACTCGATAACTAGAAACTAATAATAACTTTTCACATATTCCATTGGGATCAAAGCTGAGGTGCTAGGTATAATAAATAAACAATTAGAAGGGACAATGTTGTACATTGGACCATTGGAGAAGTGGTGACTATACAATCACGTAGATAACAACTTTTTCGAAGTACACTGACTAATAAGGACATCATAATAAGGGGTCTATTAGGTAAAATGATGTATGTATTAATTCTGTGTATTACTATTGTTTGAGTGTATTATTAATATTATGGATTTGTAGGTATTAGTAATAATGCAAAGAGATTTAATATGTGTATTAGCATGATTAAAAACTCAATTGCCCTTAATTTTTTACATCTTTTCCATTATAACTATAAAAGGTATTTTTGTAAATATTTTTTTTTATGCAATACATACTATTGTTAATGGACCAAATCAAACAATGCGTAAAAATAATTTGTCATAATTAATGCAAACATTATTAATACGAGCATTATTAATGCAAAAATTATTAATACACTCCATTTCATATTATTTTTATATACTCTACCAAACGACTCCACGTATCAAAATTTACGAAGCTATAAATAAATAACACGTGAAAAACAAGTTCATTCAAGTCTTGTACAATTTTCAAATTATTGATAATGTTCATTTAAAAGTTTCATATAAAAGTGATTTTTAACAACCAACCCCAAACATAAAATCAGAGTGGTAACCACCATCGCACTTTACTATAAGGATGAAATAAAAGTACGTCACCCGTACGTTAATAATTATAAATTTTTAATTGAGTAAAAAACAAAAAAAAATAGAAGTATATTATGACTTGATCAATGGACCTACATATAATAAAATTAACCGTATAAAAGGAAACATAACAAATAATCGAAAGAAAACTTTCTCCCAAATAAATTATTTAACTCTAAAACACTACATTATAGATAGGCCCATTAGAATGTTTATAACTTATATTTTCTTACATCGAACAATTTCTCCAAAATCAATATATTATTTCTCTTTTTGGATGAAATTTATATTTTTTATAAGAATTTCTTTTATATAAATTAAATAATACAAACATACTATGATTTTCAACTTTTAAAGTAAAGTTGAGGGGGTAAATGATTTTCACCCCAATTTTTTTATATATTAACAATAATTAGGTTCAAAGGATTGTTATACAAAAATTAAATGTAAAAAGGCAAGCATAACCATAAAAGAAATGCCACAAAGTATGGGGAAGTTTATGTAATTCTCTCTTTAGTTTTTTTTTAGCTGCAGTAACTTTGAAGATAAATAAATCTTATTTATTTGAGTAACTTTATTGATACAAGAAATAAGCACAAGTAATTTCATACAGAAATTATTATAATTGTTGAATGAGCAATTAAATTATTCACTCTTACCCACACACGTAATCAATTTGCAGAATTAGCTCAAGAATTGAGAGATGATAGATTTGATTATAATCTTGCCACCTTGAAAGTGGAAAATAGTAATTACTCTGTCCAATAATAGTTGTCCATTATACTCCGTTTGTCCCTAATTACTTGTCCACCGTTTCTTTTATAGTTGTCCCTAATTACTTGTTCATTTTGACAAATCAAGAAAGGACACAATTTTTTTACCTATTATACCCTCAATTAAATGACTAATTACTTTGAAAAATGTAGAACTTTTCATCCACTTCATAATTAATAAGGGTAAAATGGTAAACTCACTATGTCATTAATTGATTTCTTAATATGTGTGTCAATTTAAAAGTAGACAAATAATTAGGGACAGAGGGAGTACTATTTTAGATGTCCAACAATACTTGTCCACTTTATGAAATCAAAGGATAATTTTACACTTAGGGATCGTTTGGTTTGAAAATGAGTTATGATGGGATAAGTTATGTTGGGATAAATTATGTTGGGATTAGTTATGATGGGATAAGTTGTGTTGGGATTATTTTTTATTGAGTGTTTGGTTTGTTGTATTCAAAATAATAAATTTTAAGAACAATTTATTTGTTTACAAAAATGCCCTTCATTAATGTAAAAAGTGATATAACAAAAGGGTTGAAAGAGACATTTTTGTCATTTACCTATTTTATCCCGGGATAAGTTATCCCGGGATTACTATACCACCCAAGGAGAGGGATAACTTATCCCGGTACTAATTATTAATCCCGGGATAAGTTATCCCGAACTTGCCAACCAAACAACAAAATAAACGGTACTATAATTTAATCCCGGGACTATTTGTTATTATACCTCACACCAAACGAGCCCTTAGTTCCTAATTTATCCTTATCATTAATTATAATCATTTCTCTATTACATTTTTCAAGACATTGTATTTATTATATTCAAAGGGTGATATAATAAAATTATTTTTATATTTATAGTTTCTTAGGAAATGTGCATAATCAATAGTTGACAAGTATTGTTAGACAGAATGAGTAAAGTGTATGTAAATTCCTTCAAGTAGTAGATGTTTTGGCCCCGAGTGGAGGTTCTATAGGCGCGGCTGGACTATCATTTTCATTAGTGCTTTGTGTCACATCTTTGGTTTTATGTGGCGTGATAACATGGTGGATCGGTTTGTTTTTATTTATTAGACTAGATTCCTCTAATACTAGATAGCATAGTTTAACGCCTCATTGCTAGTCATGGGCCCTCTACCATACACTCCAATTATTCAAGCAAAATATATAGGAGAAGCACCTAATGTGGTGAACAAAGGAAATCAAGGTTCAAATTCCAGGAAAAAGAAAAGAAAAGAAAAAGTTATGGAGGATTGTATTCCATTGTCCTAAATTTTGGTAGACGGAGTTACATTTACTGAGCTAGTGACAGTAATATGCATACATTGAAATAATCGAGGTGAACACAAGTTGACACATATACTATCATTATTTAAACAGTCAAGGGAGAAACCTCACCCAATCCCCAAACCAAGATGTCACTAAAGGCTGTCCCTTGGCGATAGCAAGAAGAAACCATACATCCATAACTCAACTACTCTAAGAAATGCTGGAATTCGAATTTTAATGGTGTACACGTTGATAAATGACAACATAATTGCTATCACCTTATTCGTCAATTTCAGAACATTTTGCCGATGCCGTCTTGTCTAGGGATAGATTCATTGATATCCATTTTACGCCATTTGCCCATTAGTGATCCTATTTCATCAGCTTTGTCATACAAACCTAGTAGCCCACCTGTGTGTATGAACAGAATCTTTCTTCCCTCCCACTTTCTTGGATTCTCGCCCATGTCTTTCATCATTCCATAAGCTGCTTTACCACTGTGAAAATAAACAATCAGAAGAATGTGTCAATAAAGTATCCTCGAGAAATCAATATGAGTAGTGTTGAGGTGTGTGACCATCTCATCTTTATTAGTTAATTGCATTCTCAACACGCCCCCTCATGTGCGGGCCCTGATTCTTTTTCATAGACCAAGCACGTGAAAAATCTTTTTGATATGGGCGGCAGTGAGATTTGATTGTCTGATCTGACACCATGTTGAAGTGTGTGACTGTCTCATCTAAAAGCTTATAGGAGTTCACTCATCTCATTAATCACCAATGTAACACTTTTGTCATTCCTTAACACCCCACCTCACGTCCAGTGCTTAGCATTTGGTGCGTGGACAATTTTATTTTCGGGGCCCCAACATTGGGTGAGATGGGCCCTGCTCTGATACCTAATTTCACATGGTATCAGAGCAAAACCCATCTCACTCAATGTTGGGGCCCCCCAAAATAAAATTGTTCACGCACGAGATGCTAAGCACTGGGCATGAGGTGGGGTGTTAAAGAATGACAAAAGTCTCACATTAGGGGTTAATGAGATGGATAGACTCCTTATAAGGCTTGGACAATTCTCCTCCCTTTGGAACTAGCTTTTGGGGTGTGAGTTAGGCCTAAGACTTAATTTCACAAGTAGTTTGAGTTGTACATTAATCATGTCTCACTGTTCTTGCTTGCTTTAGGTAAAAATTCAAGTGTAAAGGTTGGTTTTCTAGTCTAGATGTTGAAAAAACTCCAAAACAGTTGTAGATCAAAAGACTGAAGACCTTTACTTCTCTTGGAACCTAGTCAGTCTTAAGACATTTCTCCACTTAAAGAATCACTTTTGCAAACCTAAAACAGACTTCCATACAGCTAAAATTTACAACAGCAATGTCAATAACCTTGTCTCAGAATCACATAAAAAAATGTATTTATTATCTACAGCTTAGTTATCTTCAATCAAAGAATAAGTTTATGTTAATAATGTACGCTTAGTAAGTGATATTATGAACTGTCATTCTCTTTATTTTCCCTTTCCTGGTGGGATTTAGTGTATGTATTTTGAGATATCAAGTTACCTGAGTTGGAGATGCTTTTGTAATAAAACATTAAGATCTAAACTACAAAAATCAGCAAAAAAGGATTCCACTATTTTATTTTTATTTTTATTTTTATTATAAATAACCCAGGATTCTACTATTACCGGTTTTATAGTGAATATATTATTCTCCGACCTCATTCAAGATTTGGTACATTCATAAGTTATGTTTGTCGGACACTTTAAAATGCTGAGTTAGATCCTCAAAAAGTACTGTAGTTTTTTGGAGGATCCGACAAGGGTGGCGGCGACATTTTTGTAGAGTCCAAACAGCATAGCTCCTAAGAATAGGCAGTTTCTAAGACTGGAGAACATTTAATGCAATAAGTTTTACATAGTACAGGCAAATCCTGTGGACAGTCCGTGAAAGGCTGAAATGGCATGACGTAAAAAATGAGAAGGCACAATTGGCCATACCTGTAGACAGGGTCAAGAATAACACCTGTGGTTTCAGCAACTTGCTTCACAAATTTAAGCTCATCAGCGGTGCTCATAGCATACCCAAGGCCTTTTGCCTGTTAAAATACCAAAGTGCCAAGACAAGAATAGTTGATACCAAGAGGTTCCTTAGAGAACTAGACTAATATTTCATATGCAGAACTACTTCCAGAATTTCCTCTTGAACATGGATCTGAACATGAATGACTTACTGATAAGATTTCGATGACTAACAGGGAAAATATCCATCAAAGATTTCAACCATTCACGTTAAAAATCATAAGCTATGTAAGACGTGTAACATGGGAAGAGAGAACATTTACAGTTAGAAAAGAACAAAATATCCATGACTTACAACCAACAGTTGATGTCACATTGTTTTATCATGAATTAGCATCTCAATAGTTATTGAGCAACAAGAAGTTACCCAATGAAATGGATGAATGTAAAACAGTTATGCTTAAAGAATAAGAGAAAACAATGAAGTCCTTACAGTTTCGATGCTAACAATATCACGGGAGTTAACTCCAGCAGTAATTCCGTCAAGTAGGCCTTGAACATATTCATAAAAGTAATCTGGATCGTCGCAGACAGAAAATGCATTAATCTACAAATCAAAACCAGTTGTTAGTGACATTTGTTTTTCGTGAAGATGGGAACAATTTCAAATAAGACAAGCAGTTTACTTTTGCTTTCAAGCCACTGAGCATGGATGCAATTGACAAACCAGCGACCGTACCCCCACTGGAAACCATTGAGACATAGCACTGAGGTTAAAACACTGAAAGATAATTAAATCATGACTATCACCATAAGGTAACTCCAGCCACAACAAAAGATCATTTTTAGGAAGTTGAAGTTACTCATTCCAGAAGAAGAGTAAACATAAAATAACAGATATTCTACTAGAGATACACAACTGGGGCATCTAGAAATGCAAAAAAACAAATGTCTTCAGGTTCAATCAATAAAATGTATTAATAAGTAGCAGTTCTATTAGAATGCACCATAATAGATGGTTTGCGTGGAGAATCTGTTGAAGACTTTTTTTTAATAATGGTGGTGGTTGGGCCAGTTTTTGGGCTCCTCGCAAATTCCATTGGGTATCTGCTACCTCCCACTAGCTAAGGTCCCGAGTAACTCTTGCCGCCAAGGCTTAGGCGGATAAGAAGAATTCATCTAATATTTTTGTCTCCACCATAATTTGATCCTTCTTTTAATTATTATTATTAGAACCATAGCTTGGGTGATTTATTGCGGCAAACAAGAAATCAAGCCTTACCTCCATCTCCAAGAAAATTGGAACAAACATTCCATTTTAAATGTGATGACACAGACATCTTAAGCTTACAAAACATTTTAGCTAAAGCCACACTCTTGGGTGCAAAGATTCTGTTGAACCTTATCATGGAGAGGCTCAACTGATGCACGTAGAGATGTAACACAAACATTTTTGAATTCAATCTGATTTTTAAAGATAGAGATTCTCAAATGAAATGCTTTGATAGGAAAACAGGTTACTAGGAGGCACCAAAAAGTTGGTCGTCGCCAAGAAGAAGTAACGGAACTAATGTCCAGGGAAAAACTCAAAAGCTCCTCTAACAAGGTAACTTAATTTGTCTACCAACAAAAATCAATAATCCCTAAAAGGTGTCAGCCCCTATCAAAAGGATCAACAGAGTAAGATCCTCCACAGAAAACAGATACTGAAAACACATATCAGAGACACTGACATGCATTGATGCATTTAAGAACAGCCATCAGGGCAACACTCACTAATAAAAGTATCAAAGGGGAGAGAGAGAGAGAGAGAGAGTATGTGTCCTAACAGAAGTCAAGCAAAGATTAGGCATATCATGGGTCAAATTGAGTATAATGTTCCTTATTAAGAGTACGAGTCTCGATCATTCTCTATGTTCAGAGTATATTCCTATTTATTTTGGGACAAACTTCTCAACCATATTTTCAGCAAATCTTGAGTTTAATTCTAAGCATGAACAATTTGAAATGCAACATATTCATGTATAGCATACTATTACAAAATTATGCAGAAGATGTGCAAACCTGCCACAAGCTACAACAATATCGTCGAATTTCTGTTCAATGCTCAAGTGCTGAAGTTGTTGCTCCAATTCCCTAATTGCCTCAATATAGCCCCTGAGAAAATAGTTACACTTAGCAAAACGGTGAACTAAGGCACAAATTTTGTATTCCTTCCTGAAGTAGGGAAAATTTCTAGAACAAAAATTTGCTCAGCTGTGAGCAGTAAATCAGAATGTATAACATCACTCTCCATTACTTAAGGATAACAACCGAGGGTCAGAGCATAACTAGGTACAAGCCGGCAAAGGGGGCGGCAGTTGGGTCATGATCAGACTATTAATTCGACATGCTTTAACAAGGTATAGGCCTCTGAGGAACTTCCTAACAAATTAAAGGGTTGAACCCTTGGTTATTCCAAGAATGATGCTGATGACATGTTGGATCTTTTTCTTTAATCGTGTATTTTATAAGTCTATGAATGATGGTTTAAACATCAGTATATAGAAGGTACAACCCTTGGCATGTATTTGACCGGGCTACTGGCTTCTGAACAGCTGATAGCTCTGTCAATCAAGAAAATAAGTCATCCTTGGCTTCCCTAGTGCCATCACATTTGTGTTGAAAAGGAATAACAGAGATATTGTCAAGCGGTAAAGAATATCAAGTACTGATCAAAAGAAAAGGCTGAAGAATGCTAATGCAATAATCCATAAGGTTATTTGACTGTTCAATATCAAGAGGCCAACGGAGAGGGTTTCAGCTGGTAAGAAGAGAACATGAAATGGTTGAAATGCTAATGCAATAATCCATAAGATTATTTGACTGTTCAATATTAAGAGGCCCATGGAGAGGGTTTCAGCTGGTAAGAAGAACATGAAATGGTTGATTATACTTCAAACTTTCTACGTGGCATCCATTTCAGGGTAGCAAGTAAGCCCTTCTAAGCATCCCTGGAATACAGGGTTAAGCCTCACTGGAGTTCTAAAATTAACAGCCAGTTTCAATAAAAAACCAAATAGTCATCCAAATATAAGTGTCATTGTAAGAGACAAAACAGCAGATGAGAGCGAATGAAATAAGTGAAGTCAATGCTTGCACCAGAAGTAACCAGATAAGACTGCACTCTATGGCTCAATTTGGGGCCACGAGATGGAAAAAATATTCGTTATTGAAGGATTCACAATGAATAGGGAATGGGCTACATATTCATTTCAAATTAAGGCAAGACGCAATGAGTTCAGAGGCTGTATAGGGTACTCTAAACTCAGAAACTGAAGGTTATTATTAAGAACTTTTGGCAACATGTTGATGCTTCAAGCACCCAATAGTCCAATACACATATCAAGGTGCAAGCGAAATAATGGAGATTAGGAAGAAAAAATGAAGTAGGTTTAGACTTTATCAGCAGAGGGAACAAGAAGTGGCATAACAAAATGAGCCTCACCAGGTTCCTAGAGAATTGGATCCACCAACAGGGATGACATATGGCTTTCTCCCTTCATTTAACAGCTTTTCTTTCAATATTTTGGTAAGAGCCTGTGTCATAATACACATTATGATCAGTACTACAATAATAAAGCCTATCAGCTTAAGACTACTAGAAACAAACAGAAGGTACAACTGAAAATCGGCCGAAGTTCAGATACTAGTTCCACTGGGAAAATAAGGAACACGTCACAAAATTGGAGGGCAACACTAGATCTCACCTCACCAATTAATCAGCAACCTTTTTCTATTTTTTTTATTTTGTAACAAGACTTCACCTCACCAATTAATCAGCAACTTTTTTCTATTTTTTTATTTTGTAACAAGACTACTGATTTGACATGGTATGCGTGGCATCACATTCTTGCATTGATTAGCACTAGTCCACCAGAACCAGAATCAGTGAAAGAAATACTCAACCAGTCTCCATATAACAATGGCAAAGGGAAAAGTTCTGCCATGTATTTTCATTTGGGAGAAGGGAAAGAGAGAAGGGTATTCTCCTGCGTATTTTGAAGGAAAGGAACACTTGAAGGAAGACGGAAGAGACAAAACTCCTTGATGCTTCAAATGGAAATTTAACTAGGTGAATATCTGGTGATGGTGGGAAAAATAGGTTGCAGGATTTTGAGTCGGTGGTTGCAAAATAGAAAGGTGCACTAAAAAAGAATCTTTTAAGAAATATACTGTAATGCAACAAATGACTAGAAATACAAATAAACTACATATGGAATAAGAAATTGGAAAAAACGCAATTAGGTAAAATATATATGGAGCAACAACCTTGTAAATTAAGATTCAAAACCATTTTAAATTTCTAAATTCAAATGTAAAGATCAAGTATACAGTTTGTAATTCACAACCCTCTCTTAGAAATTAGTATGTCATTTTATGAAGTATTTTTATTGTAACTTTTCCCTCTGATAAGAAGGTTATATATATTGTTAGTCCTGCTATCTATAAGATAGTGTGTCTGGTCACTAAGTCATACAGCTGAGTTTCTTACTGCCTGCACTGAAGGAATAACTAAACATGTGAGATGTTAAATAGCACTTCACCTAGCTTCATGGTTCAACTATGCGTCATACAGGTTTTAAAAACATTGGCACCTACTACCACTTTGTTGAAAGTGGGTGGAAATTTAGTACAAAGGTATACTTTATCAAAATATTCAACTGTACAATTATATTTCAAGTCGAAGGCAATGAGTGTGATGGCAACCTTTGTGTCCATATTATATATGTCCCTGTTGATAGGTTAAAACTGAAATAGTATCTTAATTTTCCTGAACTTAGTACAAAGGTATACTTTTTCAAAATGCTCAAATGTACAATTATATTTCAAGTCAAAGGCAATGAGTGTGATGGCAACCTTTGCATCCATATTATATATGTCCCTGTTGATAGGTTAAAACTGAAATAGTATCTTAATTTTCCTGAAATTAGTACAGAGTTGTACTTATTCAAAATGTTCAACAGTACAATTATATTTCAAGTCGAAGGCAATGAGTGTGACAACAACCTTTGTGTCCATATTGTATATGTCCCTGTTGATAGTTTAAAATTTAAATAGTATCTTAATTTTCCTGAACTTAGTACAAAGGTATACTTCTTCAAAATGTTCAACTGTACTATGAATTTCATGTCAAAGGCAATGAGTGTGACTGCAACCTTTGTGTCCATATGATATATGCCCTGTTGAACGGTTAAAACTGAAATAGTATCTTAATTTTCCTGAATTCCTATCTAAGTAGAGGGAAGTATAGAATCCCCCGTATTGTACTTTCCTTTGTGTTTGGATTTGGTTAAGCATTGTATGGGGGAGCAATTCCCTTGAGTCTAATTCAACATTTCATACTTATCAACACAAGTACCCAACGAGAGAAGTGAAAGAAATTATTTGTCACTTAAACAACATACTGGCTTAGGGAAATAATTCCAATGTATTGTTAACCTTTATAGTAGAGTCACTTTAACGCTGTAATATAAAGGTCATCAACTCCAAAAGGAGAAAAGGATGGAGTTTGCATTAAGTTCTTGATTTTGTCAGTTTAAAATCTTCATTACTTGGGATTGCTGATGCATAGAATATTGTCTTCACACTGGTATCTATTTGGATATGAAGTCCCAGAGCCAGAAGATTATTAAGGACCAGTAGGTGACAATTAAAGAAAATAACATGAACCACAAAATAATAGGTGGTTTATCACTTGACAATTTCCAGCAAGATATACAAGCACATCATAAACAGCTGATGCAGCTTGGACATATTATACTAGAACAGGGTGCGCAGCTTTGTAATCTAATCAAACATCTTCAAAAAGTCTCTTTGCAGCATCAAACTACCTTTACCTCAAAGTTCTCCTTGTGCAAGCAGAGGAAAGAAAGAAAGAGAGCTTAAAACTTAATGCATTAGAAACACAAGAGGAGGAATGTTAGGAATAAAGTACAGACCTCACCGCCAACTTTTGCATATTCTTCTTTTGAAACAAGATCAATGTGTGCTCCAACTAAACGGTCAACAAGGAGGTTCCCTGTTAATCCAGGATCTTTATCTACAAGTAACTGTGACATAACTAAAGAAGTTATTCACATAAACGGGAAGATGTGACTTGCAGAAGATGTATGAATCAAACAGTATTTTTTTGGATAAAGGTAATGTTGTATTCTTCAGCATTAAGGAGATGCTGGCTACCATCAAAAGAGATTTACAGCTGGCTCAAAGATAAGACAAAAACTTGCTACACAGAAACCTATAAGGATCTTATAAAATCTAAAATCTGCTCAGCATCCTCTATACACTCCTCTTTACACAAAAAGAAGAAAGTCCTTTGAAGTAAACAGAATACCAAGAGAACAATTATGGTATACCTTTGAAGTGCGTAAGATGAGATAACAGTCAAGCTTTAAGTACTTGGCAGCGACAGCAGTAGCACGACAGTGATTACTTTGTATGCCACCTATAGTCACTATGCAGTCAGCACCCTGTGCTACAGCATCTGCCAACAAGAACTCCAGCTTTCTGACCTTGTTTCCACTCAATTGCATTCCTGACATATCATCACGCTATAAATTCAAAATTAGTTCGTGTTATAAAGCGTCTGGAATAGTGACACTGGCATGAAAACAGCCTAACAGATAAGAGAAACAATAGCACAAAAAGAATTCCTCATCCTCAGGCTCCCTATGAAACAAGAACTTGCACTTTACATATACCATGAAGTATTTTCCAATGAAAGCCTTTTCTTGTTTTAATATGTATATTTTCTAGAGGAAGGTTTACCATCTATCTTATAAACGATTGTCGTCTAAGTGTACCTCTTTGCAGTGACCCAACAAAACACAAATTATCCAGATAATGAAGCTGCAAAATGCACTTGATGGACATCAGTTTGAGACGAAATCTAGGGGAGAGAAATGATTAGATACCCCACTAGTCCTTAATTTATTCTGATATTTTCTCAGTGAGGTGTATTCAATCATGTCCTTTAACTTGTTTTCATTTTATTCTGTTTTCTTCTTTTTACCCCAAAACACATACACAAAAACATACACACACACATGTTAAAAAGTACTCATGTCTAATGCCACTGCAAATAACTTCGAAAAGATATTTCAAATATTAAGGTTATCCCACTCTTCATTATTTGCATGAAAATAGTAGGATACATTTATTATCAGTTTACCCCCTAGTTTCATAGTAGTTGTCACAATATATTTATCCTTTTACCAGTGTACATCCTCAGAAAATTTTTTATATGTCATAATACCAATACCCAACTTATTTATCAAAAAGTACCAATACCCAACTTTTTATACATCTATATGAACACATAAACTAGGTACTCATGTACTAGATATAAATGTCTCAAGTAATGACTCCAGTAAAATTTCATTTGAATGAGTAATCTGCAATAGATTGAAGAAACTCTCTCACACAATTAGTATCAGTAACAACTTCACAGATACTTCATTCAAGCAGACACGCACAAACCAAAATCGTGAAATGTTTGATATACAATCAACATTTCTCAAATCCTGAAATGATCGGAGCAGATCACAGTATGTTTGCATCGTAAAAATCAGAAAACCTCAAATAACATTGTTTCATTGCTCAAATAGAGTTTAATCAAGCTAATAGTTAATAGCTTAAACACTTCCTCTAGTTTTTTTGTTCATAGTGAATGTTTTTGCGCGTCTTACACCATCATTATTTCCCAAATGGATTAGCTTCAGATAGAGAAAAAGTGAAAAAATGACTATACCTTTAACCAAACCTCGGTGTTCTTCGGCAAATTAGGCAGGTTCCACTTGTGAATTGGAGTCGGAAACTAACAACAATCCCAAAATTTCAAAAATAAAAAACAGAATGATCAGTCCTCTCGTACGATTAACAGAAACAGAGAATAACAACAAATAGAGATTATAGAGGAAGATTGTTATCTTACATGACCAAGCGAAAAGGTGTGAGAGGGAATGGGGCTAAGATGTGAAGCCCATGGAGGAGGCTCGTAAGGCTTCTTCGTGAGAAACTGAAAGGGCGATTGGTGACCCTGGGAACTGGAATCGTCCATGGATGATTTGGTAACGCAACACTGTTTCTTCAAGTTTAACGCCTTATTGAGTTGTGCTTGCTGCAAACGAAATGGTGATACTGATATTCTAGTGAAGCTGCTCCATTGGCAACTCAACATTTTTTACCTTTCCCTTTTTTTTTTCTTTTTTTTTTTCTTCTTACGTTAGTTATTTTAGCAAAAAGGATATTCCGCTGCTTGGCCGGCATACGCCCCAGTATCGGATCCGCCAGTATTGGGGAGATAATATTGAAAAGTCACTCAACTAATTTTTATTTCAAAGTCATTCAATTTTTGTTTATAATTTCAAAGTCGCTCAACTATGAATATTTTACTTAAAAAGTCACTCAATTTATTATTCTATTTTTCATTAAAAATTGTTTACATGAAAATTTTCTACTTAAAAATAAAAATAGTAAAAAATAGAATAATAGGTTGGGTGCCTTTGTAAGTAATATATTTATAGTTGAGTGACTTTAAGGTTATAAAAGAAAGTTAAGTGATTTTTAAGAGAAAAACTCATAGTTAAGTGATTTTCTGAAAGAAAAACTCATAGTTAAGTGATTTTCTAAGAGAAAAACTCATAGTTAAGTGACTTTTTAAGAGAAAAATTCATAGTTAAGTGACTTTGAGGTTATAAAAGAAAGTTGAGTGACATTCTAAGAAAAGAACTCATAGTTAAGTGATTTTTTGAGAAAAAAACATTGAGTTGAGAGACCATATGAGATCTTATCTCCACTATTGGGTTAAAATGAGGTTATTTTGTGATTACAATTACAAATTATTATTTTTTACTTTTTATATCAAATAAATAATCTCATCATTATAATATAATAAAACTTATCTTATCTTTAAAACTACTTATTTTAAATAAATATTTTAATTTTAAAATTTATATCAAAATAACTTACTGTACTATTTAGATAGCTTCCCTCTGTTGTTTAGGCTGGAGTCGTAAATTAAGTCCCATTGAAGTATCTTAAACTCTTAATTAAATGTGCACATTGTGGGGACATATCATATTTAGATAGAGCTATACAGGTCATGCTGAAGTAATTGGGTGGTACACATATATTAAAATTAATAACTTGATTGGTTTTAGTTGTAGATGAAAGACCTATTGATGAATATTATTATGTGTTGTTTGTACTTAAAATATGAATTCATGCAACAATAAGAAATAAAAAATTGCTACTAATCAATTGAATGTTTAAGCAAATTATACGGCCATGACATTAATCACACGTGAATTATTGTAGTTGAAACGGTTATTGTGAATTAGAAGTACACCCTATAATTATAATTATAATTATTATAAATATATGGTTTTATATACTGCATTAAATTTATTTTTCTTAAGCAATTTTTTTTAATAAATAAAGGTAAATTGTCGTTTTATTTGCGAGAGAATTTAAATATGAGACACTATAATTGTATTTTATTTTTTTATGATCGTGGTGTCTGGGGCATCTTTCGTGCACTTCGATTAATTTTATAAGATATTTATCACCTTTTGCTAAAAACAAATATCAAGTAACTTTGTCTACCAAAGCTATGACAAATAACTGCACTGTAATGACCCGAAATATTATTTTTGGGAATTTTGAACTATTCGTTGACTTTAGTTAATTAGTTGATGGGTAATTGTGGATAATTGACTTAATCGATAGTTAATGGACTAAAATAATCATTTATTTAAGACCATATTCCATTTGTTCCATATAATTAACTTAGGTTAGTGAAATTTACCACTTTGAATACCTAATTATTTTATTTGGAAACAAAAAAGAAGATAGGGGAACAACAAAGGAGACGTGCTTCAGGCGGCGGGTAAGAAACAATCTGAAACTTGTGATATTTATGTAGTTAACGATTGAAAAATGTTCACTGTTATTATTACTTAATGAAAGTTGATAGGTATTTGGAAATTTAGCAAGTTTGACCCAGGGCCGGCTCTATGTATACAAAAATAAGTCATTGGCCTTAGGCCCCCAATTTTAGGGGGCCTCAATTTTTTACGAAGAATAAATTATGTGTTAATTTTTTAAAGAAAAACATTAAATATTTATGATAAAAAGTATATATTTAAAATTATTATTTTATTCTCTTCAACCCCATTCAAATAGAAGAAATCAAGAAAATATTGTTTTATTTTCTTACACTCTCTCTACTAATAATACTCATATTATTATTTTTTTTAACTCCTTTTACACTCTCTTCTTTAAATTGTTGATAAGTTAGAGTAATATTTTGTCAAAAATATCAATTAATAGCTGAAAAGTGTTGAACAAATTGAATTGTAAATTCTTTTTCCATTTCTTCTTAGATTTTCAAGCATTACAACAACCACAATAAAATGTGGGTAACCAAATTATCAACTTCATCAAAGTTATGATTCTAACTCCTATATTTATTTGAAATTTGTCAACTCATTACTTGTAGAACTATGTTAACAATTCATATAATGATTGCCCGAGTAAAATAATATTTTTCAACGTTGAATTAATAAAATCTTATTTAAAACTAATAATTGAAAAAGAAATTGAATAAATCATTTATATATATAAAAAAATATTAGGTAATACTTTGCATTTAAAAATGTAAGAAAAATAAATTTTAAATAAATGCATGTGAAATTTATTTAGATTTTAGATCTCTAATTAAAATTTCGTTTTAGGTCTCTGGACTTTGACCGTGTGTAGCATGCAATATTTTTGGTTTGGGGTGGGGACAAACTGACAAGAACTTTAATTTTTGTTTGTTAGCGAATGGATTTCAGGGAATTGAATCCCTGACGAGTAGGAAAGCATTAAAATCATGAATTATAAATTGAGATTACGGGTGTGTTTGGTACGAAGGAAAATGTTTTTCATGGAAAATGTTTTCCTAGAAAATGTTTTCCTGGAAAACAAGTTGATTTTTGATTTATTTTCTCATGTTTGATTGGTGAGTAGAAAATATTTTTCGGAAAAGATTTTTAGTGTTTGATTTATGAATGAAAAATATTTTTGAGAAGTATCTTTTATTTTAACTAGAGTAGAAAATAATTTTTGAAATTGAAAATATTTTTTAAAAATAAACTTAAATTATTATTTTTTGAAGGGGGTTGGGGGCTGATAGTGGGGCAGATGAGGGGTGAGGGTAGTGGGTGGGGGGATAAAAAATAAAAAATTGAAATTAGAAATATCTTTTAAAAACAATTTTTAATATTTTTTTTTGAGAGGGCGTGGGGGTAGGGGTGAAGGTGGGGTAAAAAAGTTGAATCTAAAAACAAGCTTTAAAATTATTATTTTTTTGGGAGGGGGTGGTTGGGGGGCTGGTTTGAGGGTAGGGACAAAATAAATTGATTTTTTCAACAAAAAAGTAATTGTAATTTGAAGTTGGAAGAGAAGTTTGGAAAATGTTTTCCTTAACTTTTGAAGGGAAGTCATTTTCCTTAAATTTGAGGAAAATGAGTTGATTTGGAAAACATTTTCCAAAACATTTAACCCAATCAAACATGAGAAAATTGGAAAACATTTTCCGGAAAATGTTTTCCTTCATACCAAACACACCCTACATGTAAAAGGGAAAAAAATTGACAGTTGGGTCATGATGTCGCCGCCATTGATTTTTTCTGAAATAGTGGCTTCGAAATTAATAATGTTAATCGTTATTATATTATAAATCCAGTTTTAAATTTATTGAGATATGTAATTAATTACTCCCTCTGTCCCATTTTATGTGGCACCATTTCCTTTTTGGTCAGTCCCGAAAAGAATGTCACATTTCCTTATATGGTAAGTATTTAAAGATACAATTCTTCTTTTACCCTTGTTGGTTCCACTTAATCTTAAAGATAGTATTCCAATACATTTATGAGGAGAGAGAAAACTGAGTCTACTTTTTAATATGATTATTTTTTGAAGGGGCAATTTGGTAAACATTTCAAAGTCTTCATTTATTTCTTAAACTCCGTGCCCGGTCAAATGTTGCCACATAAAATGGGACGGAGGGAGTATTAGGTGTATGGTATTATGTGAATACCATTAGAATTATGCTATTCAATAAAAAAAATGGGACTAAACCCTGGACTTGGAATTTGGAAATATGAGAGTTGACATGTTAATTGGCATCCAGTTCTAGGAACGTTATTTTAGGTTGAGTGAATTTCTGGGTCTAGGCTAGACCTGTAGTGATATGGTTGTTGTTAGTTTCAAAATCTTATTGTGATTATCTATTTGAATAGATTGTATTGATTTGGAAGTCAACCGAAAGAGAAAGGCTCAAGTTCTGAAGTAATTGCTCGATTGATTGAGGCAAGTGGATTTCTAAACTCTTGTTAATAGTATGGAATTCGTGTATTTCCTTGTAATATGTGTTTGGGGTAATGAGACTTGGTGATGGGTTGACTTGTCCACATTGATTAATTCTAATGATGAAAAGGGGGTAATAAAAGGCAATGTGATTAATTGTTTTTGTGTGATGTGTTAAGAATGGTTTGAAAGGATTGTTAAATCATTGTTGATGTTGTATCATGATTGTGTTGTTGTGAATTGTGCAATGTTATGAAAATGGTCATCTCCTCATTATTTATGTGAACATGTCATTTGCATTGTTTTGAGACATGATTGTGACAAGTGTTGTGTGAATTGAGAAAGAATAAGAAATTAAAGAAGTCGTACCATTTCGAGGGACGTATCGCGCGCCGCGATGGATACTATATTTCGAGGGATGTATCATGCGCTGCGATCGATGGTTACTATTATCGAGGGTCGTATCACACGGCGCGATGGATGCATGGACAGATATGTCCCCCATGGGTCCCGGACTAAGAGACAACAGGTGTGTATACTAGGTCAGACATGCATCACTATACTTGACATTGCATTCCATTGCATTGCACATATTTATCATTAGTGAACTTGATATTGTGTTTTGCTCATCTTGTGAGTGCCTTTCTGTGGAACTTTGTGAGTGCCTTTCTGTGAAACTTTGATTGATGAATATTGAGCTTGTTGTTGAGGATATGTAATTGTTAGAGTGTTGTTGTTGAGCTGTGTGCTATGTGAATTATGAACTGTTAGGTTGAGCTAGTTTTAAGTAGGTTGTAGTTGTGGAGGTTGTAATTGATGAATATTGAGCTTGTTGTTGAGAATATGTGATTGTTAGAATGTTGTTGTTGAGATATGTGCTTGTGAATTATGAACTGTTAGGTTGGGCTGGTTTTATGCAGGTTGTAGTTGTGGAGGTGGTGAT